GATTTGAGCCATTGTGCCTGGTCTAAAGCCCTTTATAATAAAAAATACATGTTTACAACATGTAAAATATGTTAAAACATTTAACTGCTATTGTAATCCAGTCTAACTCAAATAGACCATGTTTTCAATGCTCTGGGAGATGCATGATCAACAAAATCTATCCTCTGCCTCCACAAAGATGAAATCTGTTTGGGGAAAACAGGGCAAATGAAATGTTTCATTAATAACAGCTTTTTTTTTTTTTTTTTGTAGAGACAGTTTCACTTTATTGTCCATGGTAGAGTGCTGTGGCGTCACACAGCTCACAGCAACCTGGTCCAACTCCTGGGCTTAGGCAATTCCCTTGCCTTAACCTCCCAGGTAGCTGGGACTACAGGTGCCCAGCAGAATGCCTGGCTATTTTTTTGTTGTTGTTGCAGTTTGGCCAGGGCCGGGTTTGAACCCATCACCCTTGGTGTATGGGGTCGGCACCCTGCCCACTGAGCCACAGTCGCCACCCAATAACACCTTTCATTAAGGCTAGGCAAAGTGGTTCTCACCTGTTAATCCTAGCACTCTGGGTGGCCAAGGCAGGTGGATAGCCCTGAACTCCCAGGTTCAGGACCAGCCTGAACCAGAGTGAGACCCTGTCTCTAAAAATAGCCAGATATTGTGGCGGGCGCCTGTAGTCTCAGCTACTAGGGAGGCTGAGGCAAGAGAATTGCATAAGCCCAAGAGTTTGAGGTTGCTGTGAGCTATGACACCATAGCACAGTACAGAGGACAACAAAGTGAAACTCTGTCTCAAAAAAAGGAAAAAAAAAAACTTCCATTAACTGCCTTTCCAAATCAACCCTTTGTCCTCCTGAAGCCTTTTCCAGCCTTCACTCTGTTTTTGAGGGGCAGGTAGGTGCCGCCTAAGTTACACTTGCAGCCTGTCTGCCCTGGGAGAGAGAGCTGGGTCTCAAAGACAGGCCCTTCTCAGTCACACCATGGTGCTCCCTAAATGCAGTGGGGGGGAGGGGGGCAGTGCTTGGAGCACAGGCTCCAGAATCAGTGTGGGTTCTGGACTCAGTCTGGGGTTTCCCAGCTGTGGAGACGGAGCAGTGAAGTTACTAAACTACTTAGTGCATCAGCTTCCTTGGCTCATTGCTCTGGCTACTTTTAGGCAGTTTTGAACAGGAGAAGGAGGATCAAACTATTTGTCTTAAAGGGTAGGCAGACCTGGCTGAGCAGCCCACCCTTTGTGTAGCTGGGTGGGAGACATCAGGAGGCATATAAGCTGGTCCAGCCATTATTAGTAAATCCGTGTCCTAACATTCAGGACACCGAGTCAGGCCGACCTTCAGGTGAGTCCTTGACTGACTACCAGCACTGTGGGCAAATTACTTTCAGACTTGGTTTCCCCATGTGTGTAATGGGAGAGGTGATACTTAACTTGAATCAAAGTGTGGGTGTGAAGTACGTATACATTTCAGGTAATCACCCCTCATCCCATCCTGCTTAGACATTGTATGTACTTTATATGTTGAAGCTAAATAATTTATCTGTTAAAGTAATCAATTGGCTGTTTTAATAAGCTACGTAGTAAATGACAGTGCCATTTGATTTTGAAAAATGTCAACTTGATGGGCAGCACCTGTGGCTCAAAGGAGTAGGGCACCAGCCCCATATACTGGAGGTGGTGGGTTCAAACCCGGCCCTGGCCAACAACTGCAAAAAAAAAAAAAAAAAGTCAACTTGATATTATTATGGTACTTACCATCTGTGTGTTACACTGTTTGAATGTTGGACCTGTTTTTTTCTCCAGATGGTATGTTACTTATGGCCATGAACTCATTTGGAAGAACAGAGAGCCTCTAGTGAAAATCTGGCATGAAATGAGGACTAATGGCCGCAAAAAAGGAGGTGGCTCTAAGTAAAACTGGGCTTGGATAATACTAGTGCATCTGGGCTATCCTGCTGGGGGAGGCACTGGAGCACCTGGGCCCTGGAGTGACACAGCTGTGTTCCTGCTTTGAAGACATTTGCATCCAGCCTCCCAGCGATTTATACTGTGTCCCCCAGTCTATGTCTACAAAAAGTGAATTACGATGGAGTTGTGAAATAAAGGTTTATATCTCTAGTTTGTAAGCAAAGCGTGTGTGCTTTTTCTTTTAAGAGCACTGACACTTCTCTGGTGTCTTGTTTCGGTTGTACATTGACATAGTTTGAGTGGCAGGACCTGGGGAGAGTGCGTGTTCAGAGTTCTAATCAAAGTGCTGATGTGCTGGTGTTTGTACCAGCTGTCCAGCACCTCTGTTCAGAGTGTGCGCTGCTTACCTGTCCAACCCTGGGTTGGCTGACTGTCAGAAGTCAGAGTCTTTTCTCTGGCATGGTCTGAAATAACAGCTTCATTATTTTTTAAATTTTTCCAAAAAAGGTAGTGATTTCTGGCAATGAATGGCATATACAAAAAGCTATTTTTAAGTTTTGCTTTCTAGGTTAAAATTGTAGATAAATAAAAGGAAATGATTGGATACATTCAGATTTGAATCTGAGCCAAATTGCATCTTAGGTTTGAAAATGTACATTCTAATTGAAAAATCGTACTGAAATAGCAGACAGTGGTCATCATAGCCTCTCTGTAGTGGAGCTCATGTTGTTCTCATGACTTGAGAGTCATGTCTAGCAGTGCAATTTGAGAGTTTGTTTTTCTTGAAAGGATTTACATAGAGTGCTTAGTATTTCTGTGGTGAGACACTGTTATACCAAGTCTTGCACCTTTGCCCTGAGGGAATGAAGGTGCAGATGTCAGCCTTGTTGGGTTAATTCGCCTTGGGTTGCCTACCACTGATGGATAGGTTTTGCATAAAGTAGTGGGAGTCGTGCCCACCTCCCCAGGTGGTGGGGAACTGAGTGGTGACACAAATTACCCACTATTTGGCAGTTCTTCATATCCTTTTCCCACCAAGCTGGACTCAACCTCCACTGTAGTACCAGTTCTTACCTGGCAGAGGATTCTATTCTAAACTGGTATCACTTTGAGGAGAGAGAATTTTCTTAACCCAGCCTTCATTTTGCCAGTAAGGAAACCGGAGGTGTTGTGATGGAGGCACTGCCCAAGGTCACACTGCTTTCCTGTGCTGCCTCATCCGCCAGCTTCTTAGTTGTGGGATCCCCGGAACTGGTCCGTTGTCTCATCTCCACACACTTGTGGAGTGGGGGCATACCTCCTGAGACTTCGGTTGTCCATTAGGGCGTTTTCTGACCCCAAACCCACTGAGTGTCTGGGCACTCTAATTTAGTAAATATATCTACTGCCATACACGTGGTTCCAGGATCTGGGATCCTGCTGCGCAGGCACCTCCAGTATCACTGTGACATAAGGAGAGACATCACCAGTCACTGAGGGTAGGAGCCCAGGAGCTAGTCTACATTTCCTCTCTGGCCTCTCGTTCCCACAGTCCAGCCCTCCCCTCCTCTCCTCCTCTCCAGTGCCTGTGCCTCAGTGTTGTCCCTCATCTCCCCATCCCTGCACTGTTGAGACTGTTCTTGCGGGTGGTCTCTATGGTGTCCTTGATCTCTGTGGCTGCCAGAGTGCTAAAAACACTTGTGACTCCAATGTTGTCACCCACAAGACTGTTAAGCTCTTTAGTGAGGCTACCAAGGCCCTCCATGGTTTGGTCTCTGCTGTCTCTGGCAGAACTTTCATCCCCTGTGCCCTGTGTTCCCATCAGCCCAACCACTGTCCCTCACAACAGGCAGCAAGTCCAGCCTTCCCTGTCCCTTGTCCCTCTTTATGCTGTCCTGGCTTTATCAGTCCTACTACATGTTTTTCCACATCTGTTGTCACTGCACACATAGTAAGTGCGCTTTGCTGTTTGATGAAGTAATAAAAAGAGCTGCTTTTTTCCTGCAAAGCAGAGTCACCAAGTGTCCTCTGCCAAGCTGGCTAACCTAGGGCCCCGGGCCCTTTGCCCTAGGGACAAAGGCAGCACTGGAGGTGCAGCGTCTTCACTGTGCAGCCTGGAATGCTCAGCTGACTGGCTGCTGATGCTTTGCTATGCCTTGTAAGACAAGCAAGTCTGGGAGATGAGTGTTTTCTGGCTGGCTGGGCTGTGTGCAGTCCTCTCCTCCAAGGTGCATGCTGGGCATCTTCCAAGCCTAGCCTGGCCGTGGAGTTCAGAGTAAGGGATGCCCTTACAATAGTATTAGTAGCAACTGGTCTGCACTGCAGATTGAGGGCACGTGTCAGATACTCAGAAAGCTTTTGGACAGTGGTCAGGGAGTTGTTTCTGATACCTTGTGCATTAAACAGACTGACTTTTAACCTGGAGGATTATTCAAAATTAGCTCTGTATTAAAGGAATAATAGGCAGACAGGAGAGAAATAAATTGATAGCACGGTGGCCAAAGTCCTGTGGCAGCTTTATAAAACTTAAGCCTTTGGGGCCATGCTTTAAAATTTGGGATTTTAGGACCCAAGGAAAGGTCAATTGATTCCTAAAGCCAAGCCTTGATGAAAATTGGACCGGCTGTCACAAATGAAGTCTAGCATCAAAGGCAAATAGGCCGGCGACTCACAGGCTGATTCGAGCACGTGTTCTTTGGGAAGCATGGCCTGGTCTTCCCTGTGACACCCTCCTCGGTGCCCGCTGGGTCCCTGCGGTGCAGCTTAGCACAAATGCAGCAGTCACCCGACCTCGCGACAAAGCAGAGACCCTCCAAGCCAGGTGATTGCGCCCGGCTGTCGGCCGAGGGAGATCAGCGAGTTGTCGCCGTCTGGCCCTCGGCCTCTGCGAAGCCAGATGGATTCCTGAGAAACACTTAGAAGACGTGGGATTCAATAATGAGACGTGCTTCAAGTCGGACCCTTGTAAGTGGGTGCGGGCGGTTTCAGGTGGCCCCCCGGAGACTGTGCGATCTTTTCCCGGGACTCCCGCCCAGGCCGGGGGAGGCGCTGCGGCGGCGCGGGGAGGGCGGCGGCGGGGGCGGCGCGGCCCGGAGCGCGGGCAGCGGCGCGGCGGGGCCGGGGCCGGCATGGCGTGGCCCTGCATCAGCCGCCTGTGCTGCTTGGCGCGGCGCTGGAACCAGCTGGACCGCTCCGACGTGGCGGTGCCACTGACCCTGCACGGCTACTCCGACCTCGAGAGCGAGCAGCCGGGCTCGGGCGGCGCCGCCCCGCGCAGGAGCCAGTCCCCCGCGGGCGCCCGGGACTCTGGCCGGGACGTGCCGCTCACTCAGTACCAGAGGGACTTCGGCGTGTGGACGGTGCCCGCGGGGCCCAGGGACGCGCCGCAGGGGCGCGGGCCGGGGCCGGGGCCGGGGCCGGGTGGCCGCCGGGACGAGCCCTCCGTGCGCCTGGCCCGTGGGGTCTACGTGCTGCCCGTCGGCGACGCGGACGCGGCTGCGACCACATCCTACAGGTATCGGGCCGAGGCGGGGAAGGCCCGGAGTCCAGACACCGAGGCTGGGAGGTGGGGGTGGGGGCCAGGAGGCGCCCGAGCTAGGATCCCGCGCGACCCTGAGAGCTGTTGGCGGCCTCGGAGGTCACCCGCTTTGGTCCCCCGGCCCTGCAGGCGTCACCATCGCCGCTCCTGCCCAAACTCGGAGTGAACGAGCACCTCCACTGGAGGGGCGCTCGCTCCTGTCCCCTCGGCAGCCGCGTCCCCACCGCCTGCCTTGCTGAGTTGAAATCTGCTGCTTCTTAACTTCCGCCCAGGGGATGCTTAGGAGGGGCGAGTGCAGGCCGAGCCCCCAGCCCCTCTGGCCACTGCCCTCTGTGGGGGCGTTGGTGGCCAGGACCAAGGACAGGTCTACGGGTCCTCCCTGCCCGCAACCCCAGCTCTGCTCCTCGGCTTCTCCCTTTTTTCTCTTATTGCAAAAGTAGTTCCTACTCACTGTGGAAAACTGATTATAAAAATTATGACAACCTCCCCTCCCCCACAAACATCCTCTTGAACTGGTAGTTCTAATTTTTTTTAGACAGAGCCTCAAGCTGTCGCCCTGGGCTCACAGCAACCTCAGACTCTTGGCTTAAGCAATTCTCTTTGCCTCAACCTCCCAAGTAGCTGGGACTACAGGCGCCTGCCACAACGCTTAGCTATTTTTTGATTGTAGTTATTGTTGTTTAGCAGGCCGGGGCTGGATTCAAACCAGCCAGCTCTGGTGTATGTGGCTGGCGCCTTGGCCACTTGAGCTACATGCTCCGAGCCAAGGTGGTTCTAATTCTTTAAGTGCATATGTATTTTCACATGGTGAGATTTCTACAGTACACATTATGTCTCACCTACTGTGAATGTCCATTTGCGAGCTATTCTACATCACAAATTTTAATAAATGGGCAGTATTTTTATCCTATGAATATGCATCTGTATCTTCAAATATTATCTACTCCCTCTTTATTGATTTTTAGAGTGTTTTGTATTTGGGGCCATTGAAAGTACTATTCTTTGTTTATTTGTTTTGAGACAGAGCCTCAAGCTGTCCCCCTGGGTAGAGTGCGGTGGCATCACAGCTCACAGCAACCTCCAACTCCTGGGCTCAAGCGAGTCTCCTGCCTCAGCCTCCCAAGTAGCTGGGAACACTGGCGCCTGCCACAATGCCCAGCTATTTTTTGGTTGCAGCCGTCATTGTTGTTTGGCTGGCCGGGCTGGATTCAAACCTGCCACCTTAGGCATATGTGGCTGGCACCTTAGCCACTTGAGCCACAGGCGCTGAGCCTGAAAGTACTATTCTTTAATGCAGCCATTCCACTTCCAAGAATTTTCACTACAGGTATCTCACCATGTGGGACCAGGACTCAAGGCACAAGGCACATCAAACCCTTATACAAGCCCACTGCCCACTGATGTAGGGGACCAGTTAATTATAGCCCTGTTATAGGATGGGACAGTGAAGTCCCACAGGCCCTGACAAACAGAAGACCTTAAATATGTACATGTTGAAAGAGCAAGGGGCAGGAGAGCTCCTATGCTACTTAATTTGTGTTTTTAAAAGGGTATTAACATACACATATCTGCTCACATCAGGATATCTCTGATGTAGGAGGTGGAACATTTGGGGAGAGGAACTTAGGGACTGTTGGGGACTGGCAGGGATAGAAGAAAACTTTTCACTTTACACTTTTGAGCAATTGCTTTTCTTTTTCTTTAAAATATATAGTCTTATTTTAAAACTTTTTTTTTTTTTTTTGAGACAGAGTCTCATTTCATCATCCTCCGTAGAGTCGCATGGCATCATAGCTCACAGCAACCTCTAATTCTTGGGCTTAAGCGATTCTCTTGCCTCAGCCTCCTAAGTAGCTGGAACTACAGGCGCCCATCACAATACCTGGCTGTTTTTTAGAGACAGGAGTCTCACTCTGGCTCAGGCTGGTCTCGAACCTGTGAGCTCAGGCAATCCACCCGCCTGAGCCTCCCAACTCCTGGGATTAGAGGCATCATAAACCACTGTGCCCAGCCTATTTTTTTTTAGACAGAGCCTCAAGCTGTTGCCCTGGGTGGAGTGCCATTGGTCATAGCTCACAACCACCTCCAACTCTTGGGCTTAAATGATCCTCTTACCTCAGCCTCCCAAGTAGCTGGGACTACAAGCACCCACCATAACGCCTGGCTATTTTTTTGTTGTTGCAATTGCCATTGTTGTTTTAGCTGGCCTGGGCTGGGTTCAAACCTGCTGGGTTTGAACCTGCCAGGCTCGGTGTGTGTGGCCGGCGCCCTACCCACTGAGCTACGGGCGCTGCCCGCCCAGCCTATTTTAAAAACATTTGTTAAAGAAAAAAATAATTTCTGTGATAAACATTCTTGTAGCTAAATTTTGTTCATACCATAATTTATTTGTGATAAGTGCCTACCTGTGGAATTAAAGAGCCAAAAGGGTATGGACTTTATCTGCCAGTTTATTTTTTTAAAAAAACTGTATTAAAGCATATTTTCCATACTATAAAATTTATCCATTGTAAGTGTACAGCTCATGACTTTTGACAAATGTATCTAGTTGGGCCACTCTTATTAAGACACACAGAACATTGTATCTCTGGGGGAGGTTCCTTCGTAGGTGTGCAGTTAATTTTTCTTTTCTTTTTGAGTTGGGGGGGGGGTCTTTGTCACCCAGGCTAGAGTGTTGTGGCATCATCATAGCTCACAGCAACCTCAAACTCTTGGGCTTAAGCTATCCTTGTGCCTAAGCCTCCCAAACAGCTGGGACAACAGGCTATGCCATCATACCTAGCTAATTTTTTTTTTTTTTTTAGATAGTATCTCACTGTTGCCCCAGGCTTTGCTGTGGCATCATAGCTCACAGCAACCTCAAACTCCTGGGCTCAAGCCATCCTCCTGCCTCAGCTTCCCTGAGTAGCTGGGACTACAGGTGCCCACCAAAATGCTTGGCTACTTTTTACATTTTTTTTTTTTTTGGCCAGGGCTGAGTTTGAACCCACCACCTCCGGCATATGGGGCTGGTGCCCTAATCCTTTGAGCTACAAGTGCCACCCTACTTTTTACATTTTTAATAGAGACAGAGGTCTTCCTCTTGCTAAGGCTGGTCTCCCTGAACTCAAGCGATCCACCCATCTGGACCTCCCAGAGTGCTAGATTATAGGTATGAGCTGTGCCCGTCCAGGTGTGCACTTCTTAAGGAACTTGGTGGGGAAGCGGCTGCAGGGTGGGCCTGCATTCACTGACACGTGTTCACGCTGAGCTGCTAAAACTTGAGGGGACTGCTGGTGGCAGAGCAGAAACAGGCACAGTGCTCAGGCCCTAGCCAAGTCTGACTGCCAGCGATGGGGACTGGAACCAGGTGGAGGGGCCTGAATGGTGGGAGGGCTGGAAGGCCAGAGGGCCTGGCCATGCTGTACCTCTCAGTGACTCCAGTGACGATGCCAAAACAGGACAGGGATAGAATGTGCAGGGAGAAATCTTCAGCTCTGGGAAGGAAGCTCTCGGACCCAGCAGGAGCTGCATCTCATGGTGCTGAGCTCCTACTTACTGGGGATGTTCTGGCAAAGCCTGAGCATTTAGAAGCAGTCCCTTACCTGTGTGGGACATGCAGTGAGTATATACATCCTGCTGGGTCCCCTTACAGGAGAGAGTAAAGGTACTAGTTATTGCTTTCTCTGCTTTAGCACCGGGCACTAGGCTCAGCCCATGGATTAGCTCCCTAGGTATCTGTTTAACGGTGGCTGGCGCTGCTCTGATGGCAGAGCAGGGAGGGGAACCCAAGTCTGTCTTGCTCAGAGACTGTGTAGCCCTAAAGGTTGTCATCCCTCAGGAGCTGCCTCCTCAGAATCTCTTGTTTCTTGAACTATGTCCTGAAAGCACTGACAGGAGCACTGGCAACTTCTGTGTATGAACTTGGGGTGGGAACCACTCCATCTCACTGACTTAGTCCTTAGCTATAAAGTAGGAATAGCAAGAGCTGGGCTGCCCAGACCCATCCCCCCAACTTGGGCAGAAACACAGGATCACCACTGAACTTCAGTACTACCCCGTTGAGTGCGTCACCAGCTGGCCTCTGGGACCCTTACCTCTAGCTCCAGGACCTGGCACAAGCAAGTCCACCTGGCCTTCCATTTTGCAAAATTCACATCATCTAAGCAAATTTTAAAGAAATTCAGAAAGCTAAGAATATGAACAGATCAGGAACTTTAAAGATAGCAGCATAGATGTCTGGCCACTCCTTGCGGAGGGTTCTTGAGTTCCAGATACCCCTCCACTGCAACCTCCCCACCCCAGCAGGTCCTGCCTGTCCAGTTTCTGGTCTCTGCATGAGGACTGTCCTGCCTTGCTTGCCTGGCCAGGTAGGCACTGTGGGTCCTGCCCATGGCCAGCCTGGGCCCCACCACCTGACCAGTTCCTCCCAGGGCCTCCCCTCCCTAATTCTGCCTTCTGGGTAGTTCAGTGCCTTTGGCTCAGGTTCTAGCCGCACCTACTTCTGTTAGACAAGTCCCCAACTCATTGGTTATTTGCCTCTTTTCTTCCTAGGTAGGTCATTTAAATGGTTAGCCCAAGTTCCACAACACTTGGTTCCCATTTTTCCCACATGGATCAGCAGCACCACTTAACTCCCGAGGCCTAGAGAGGTGAGGCTCAGGAATTTAAAGAATTTATCTGAAGCCACATTGGGCTGAGAACCCAGGCCTCCTGATCCACCAGGGCTCTCCGCATTCCCCTAGGCAGCGCCTGCCCCTCAGTGGGGGGAACTGCAGCCCTCAGGGTGTGGTGCCTGGGTGGATGCTGAAAGGAGCTTGAATACTGAAAGGCTAGACCTGTATTCCTCACTAATCTTCTTGGCCTGAGCCATTAATCTGTCTTCCTCCTCTTATGGGCTGTCACCAGGCCCTGCTGACTCAGTCTTTGCTGACCCTTCTCTATTGCCCCTGCAGCCCCCTCTGACCCAAGTTCCTTCTTCAGTAGCCACAGGGATACTCTAGCAGGTGGCTCTGGTCACTTCCTGCCCTGGGACCCCTACAGCCCACCGCAGGGCAGCAGGTTCAGGGTATGGGCCCAAGGCTCAGCTCAGGCATGAAAGGTAGTTTGGGGGACAGAAGGGCACACCAGGGGAGCACCTGCTTCTCTAGGAGAAAGATGGTTTGGGCAGTGGATCTTTAGGACCATGCAGCTTTAGATGCAAAAATTATCTGACAGGGCCGTGGCCCAGCCCTCCTCCTTTCACCTCTAAGCATCCCAGAGTGCTGGCTATGGACAGACAAAGCTGCTCCCTGCCCAGTGGTGACCCAGCTGTGCTACTGCCAAGAAGAAAAGGCAGCTTTGTTGGCCTCAGGGTCTAAAGCCCCAGAGAGCAACCCAGGCCTGTGTAGACACTGGCCTTGCCCCCTGGGACCTCTGCCTTCCTGAGCTCACTATCCAGCAGGGGAATTGGCAGAAAGGTCTCTTTAAAAAAAAAAAGAGTTCTCTTTTGTCAAGAGAAACAGAGCGAGTCAGTCTTTTCATCAGGATGTGGAGCTAGGCTGTGCCAGCCTTGTCATTCCCCTCTAGGGGGCCGGCTGTCCCCCTTCAGCCCACGCTCCCTCCTGGCATGCTCATGTACGAACTCATAGACCGGCTCTCTCCAACATGCACAGAGCCGTGCACAAGCCAGACCATCTTGCAGTTTTTTGAGATGGTCACAATTCATCTTCTCTTTTGCGTCAGTTAATAAGTATAAAAAAAAAAAACCTAACGATATTGAGCCTGGGTTTTCTTTTTAGCCACGTGTTGTCCAGGCTGGCACTTTCTCTGGACATAAGTGGCCACTAGTGACCTGGGCTGGATACAACAGACCTCCACTGGCCCCAGGCCCAGAGCCTGGCTCCTGGACAGGCAGCGGCAGTTTCAGGGGGTCCTGGAAACAATGCCAAGTGCTGGGGCTTGCTGGCTCCACAACCCAGCACGTAGCAGCTGCTGAGCTCTGTCCTGAGCCTGCCACCAGTGAGTTTCTCCTCCTCCTGCCTTAGGAAAGAGTAAACCCAGACTTCCCAGTGTAGCACTGGGGGGTAAGGGGCCGGACAGCTGCAGGCTGCATGCTCCCCAAGCCAGCAGTCTGCCTGGGGGGTGTTGCCAGTTCCGAGTGGGATAAATGACCACGTGGAGCTGAAGCAGCTCAGCAGTGGACAGGGCCACGACACTCCAAGCAGCAGCACAGGCAGAGCAGGGGTCTCTGAGGGGCCAGGGGATGAGACAGCTGACCCTGTCCCAGGTTACGACTGTGTTTTCTATTCCAGGCAAGAGTTCCAGGCTTGGACTGCAGTGAAACCCTCAAGATCCACAAAGGCAAAACCAGCCAGAGTCATCACAACCCAAACATCCAGATGGGACAGCAGCTCGGGGGCCAGCTCCCAGGTCAGCCCAAAGCTGGTGCTGTGGGGACTGTGGTTACAGAAGCCTTTTCTAGGCTTAGGATCAGGAATCAGATTCTGATGGAGTCAAATGGCATCATGGCCAGTGACAGCAGTGCCCAACTAAGCATCCCACAAACAGAAAACCAAAGTTCTTTGTCATTAGCCAGATGGTTGCTCCTCTAAGGCTGGCTGCTTTGGTGAGAGTATCATTTTTGCCCCCTAAGTCCCAGTCGTACCTTTGGCCTTTCCAAATACCTGAGCATTTTCTCAGGTATTTGCTCTCCTTACGAAGAGAAGACAGAAGGGAGATGAGGCCAATTTTTTTTTTTTTTTGAGACAGAGCCTCAAGCTGTCCCCCTGGGTAGAGTGCCATGGCATTACAGCTCACAGCAACCTCCAACTCCTGGGCTCAAGCGAGTCTCCTGCCTCCGCCTCCCAAGTAGCTGGGACCACAGGCGCCCGCCACAACGCCCGGCTATTTTTTTTTGGTTGCAGCCGTCGTCGTTTGGCGGGTCCAGGCTGGGGATTCGAACCCGCCACCTTAGGTGTACGTGGCTGGCGCCTTAGCCGGTTGAGCTATAGGCGCCGAGCCTGTTTGGCTTCTTAATTCCACCCAAAGGTGGTTTCAGGGAGCAGAATGGAGGGTCCACGTGCCAATGAGCTACTAACGAATGCAGTGATAGCCGCTCACTGTTTCCCCCACTCACCCTTCAGGTTAGTAGTCTTAAATCCTGGAGGACAAAAAAGAGAATTTTTTTTTTCCTGGAGCTAGGGTGAGGGGTAGTTAAGGAAAAGGCCCAATGACATGTGACCACATTTCATTTTTCAGGTCCCTGAGGTGAGGAAGAAGTTCACGCCTAACCCCTCAGCCATCTTTCAGGCTTCAGCTCCACGGATTCTCAATGGGTGACAACCTGCGACATGGATGCAATGACTGCTCAAAGTGCTGAGAAGCAGGCTGTGGACCCACTGACCCTGGGGAGGGCTGAGAGCGTGGCAACGTCCCCTGCCTGGGGGAGGGGACGGCCCCTCTCAAAATTGTTATCAGCAGGATGTTGCAGTGACACAACTGTTGCGGAACAGATATGCAGATAGACTTGTCACCATCTTTGCCCAGCTCAGCATCAACCATCCTCTTCTTCCTCAAGAGTTTTTGGAAGCTTTCACATCTGTTTTTAACTGCCATCTGGCCATCCTTTAGTATTTAAATGTAAAATACTAAGAATCAGCAGTGCCCAACCAAGCATCCCACATACAGAAAACCAAACCAAACATAAAACCAAGGACTGTGATTGGTCCACGGGGGGCTAAGGAATGTGGACATACTGAGTCTTTAAAAGAACCAGCAATGTCCACTGTGGGTGGTTTTCCCAGGATGCATGATATTTTATAACCTATGGTAATCCAAGGTGATATGCATGATCTTCCAACAAATGGCCCCACGTATTTAAGTTGCAGAAGAAATCTGTGACTCATAGTGGTGCTAAGTGAGCAGGATGAAGCTTCCAAAAGAAATAGAACATTAATCCTAGGGCTTCAATTACAAAGACACTATTTCTTTATGATCAAAATGATCCTCATGTTTTAAGAAAATGTATCTTGGGATTGAATGGACATTTACCTTATGGAAGGTTTCTAAAGACTGAATCCCACATTTGTTTAGTTTGTTTCCCCTTCTAACAAAGGGATGACTAGAAAGGCACTACTGAGTAAGAGCTGGGAACATTTTGGGGGAAGGTGGCATTTGCCTCGTTCCCTGAAGGACCATTACGATGTCCTCTACACCAACCCTCGCTCTCCCCTCTCCTCACCCAGTGAACAGTGAACACTCCACCTGCTGAGGAGCCGGCACATTTTACCTTCACAAAGCTCTTTCCTAACTTTCTTCACAGATTCTAGCCATTGTGGTGTGTGGGTCCACTTGGTCCCTTCTCTGCATAGTAGCCCTGCAAACATTTAAAGGGTTTTGTCCCTTCTTAAAGGTTAGAGGCACAAGTCTGGGACAGGTTTTGTTAAGGAAACTTAGGATTTCCTTTTGGATTTTTCGCCCTCTCCAGCTCACAGGAGGCTCATCTGATGAGCATTTAAGCCATAGGTGGTAGCACTCAGGTTTCAGAGCCACCCAGACATGGAGATGGGGCCTCGTCCCCTCAGAGGTGCTAGCTCTGGCAGGCACACCCTTTCCTCTCATTCCAGCAAAATGAGAGATTCCTTTTAAAGGGGAACCAGAGCCACATGCTGCGTGGACTCAGAGGAAGGCCTGCTTGCACCATAGAGGTTTCTGAGAGACTGCCTGCCGGGCTTTTCGTGGGAAATGACTAACTGTACAATCTTGGATTTTACTAAAATGTAAAAATGTACTGTTCCAATTTCTTAATTTCTTTCAATTAAAAACACAAGAGACTTCTCAACTTTTTACCCTCTCTCGGTGATAAGGACTTCAGTGTATCAGGGCTGCTGCCACACCCTCATGGGCTTGTCAGTCCTTAGCACTGTGCAGGCTGCAGGGAGCCCCTTCCACTTCACCCCCACACCCTCCTCCAGGAGCCTGGGGCAGACTGACTGTGAGGCTAGTTTCAGGCTTGGATCCTGGCCTGTCACGTACCAGCTGTGAGCAGTCAGAGCTGTTAAAGTGAAGACCCCACCGACTGCAGCTGTGGGCTTGCTGAAAGCATCTGCTTTTAATTGTAGGGTGCTCCAGACTGCAGCCCTCAAAGCACAGCTGTCACAATTATCCTTTCCTAAGCAGCCCCTTTTTCCTTCCCCAGGAAGCCAGCTCTACCCCCATCTCCAGCCCCTAACATTCTGCAACTTGCTACCCTGTGCTCACAGCTCCTCACCATTCACCACCCACTGCCACACGGTACAACACCCAGGAAGCCCATGTGTTCATTTTCTGTAACTAGAGGTCAGCTCAGCTAAGACAAGCCATGACTGCTGCCTCCTGGAAATGCTGGTGGGGCAGCAGCAGTAGGGGCCCCACCGCCATCAGCCAGGCCTGACCTCTGCAGGGCAAGTGCACGCCCAAGACTCTCTCTGCGGTGCACCCAACAACTTTCCACAAACATCCTACCCAACTGGGATTGTTTATTAGGAGATCTGGGTTCTTTTTTTTTTTTTTTGGAGACAGTCTCAGTTTGTCACCCTTGATAGAGTGCCGTGGCTCACGGCAACCTCAGTCTCAAGCGATTCTCTTGCCTCAGCCTCCCAAGCATCTGGGAGTACAGGTGCCCACTACAACACCCAGCTATTTTCAGAGGCAAGGTCTCTGTCTCAGGCTGGTCTCAAACTGTTGAGCTTAAGCAATGCACCTGCCTCGGCCTCTCAAGTGCTGGGATTACAGGTGTGCACCAATGCACCTGGCTGAGATCTGGGTTCTTAAGAAATTCCCTCCCACTCACTCTAGGTCTGAATGAAGCTTAACACCACGCTGAGAGAGTGACTCAAGAAGTAACAGAGACCAGCCTCAAGCAGATGGTCCCACCTCACATCTACTTTGCACACATATGGTTTGTACAAAGACAAAGAGAAATGCACTGGGATATTAGCAGTGTTATCTCTGAGGAGGGGATTACGGGTAGTTTTTTTTTTACATTTAATTATACTTGATAACATTTCTATAAAATAAGCATTTCTGTATTAATTCTGTAAGGGAAAAATTTTTTGGGGGGTCCAGGGCTGGGTTTGGACCCACCACCTCCAGCATATGGGGCCAATGCCCTACTCCTTGAGCCACAGGCGCCACCCTAAAGGAAAAGTTTTTAAAAATAAAACAGTTCAACCTGTTAGCTAATTTTAGACAAAAGAAAGCACACAATCATCCATTGACCACCATCTCCACTGCAGCAGCTGCCTCAACCAGCCATGGGTGCAGCACAGGGTCCAACAAGGGGAAGAGCCAAGGAGTTCTCAGTCATTTGGACCAAGATCCCATTTCTGTGCTCCACAGACGGGACTCTAGGACTTTAGGCCAAACTCGAAAATGGTAGCTTGGAGAAAAGTTAGGCCCTGCTGGATGGTGGCCCTATTACTCATGCCAGGCAGATGGAGGGACTCCCCCTCTAGATAGGGCCCAAAGCTGAGTCTGCTGGCCCCATTCAATCACTGACATGCAGTCCTAGTTTAAGTACCTGTGACACTGATGTGTCTGCTCTGCAGTGCCTTCATGAAAGCAAACCTGAGCATGCCCCTCCCCCATGCTCCTTCTCTAGATAATTCAACTTTCCCATCTTTGACTCTATGAGAAGTCTGGTCCCCAGAAAGCTACAAACTTCAACTATATCACAGTGTTTCCTTGCCGAAATTCTTTCTTTTAAAGAATCAAAGTTTCCAAAACCTTTAGCGCTTACATTTCTGCATATTTTGTTATTTTTTAGTCATATGAGAGCAGATGGTCACAGCATAAGGACTGTGTCACGGGAGCAACCTCTTTCAGACCTCAGCATGGCCCAATTTTATCTTGCCAGATAAACAGCGTGTTTGTTAGACAATAAAAGCCAAGTTCTTCTCTGCCTTGGCTTTCAGGAAACAGCTCATTTATGGAGTTTTCCTTTGCCCCAAGCGGAAAGAAATGATTTTGTCCAGGATCAACACATTATCTCCCCGCCCCCCGCCTTTTTTTTTTTTAAAAGATGTTTATGTAACTATAATCCTTTATCTTGTATGTCTTTACCTTTTTTATTTTCTGGAAAGAAGCATAAGAATTAATTTAAACATATAAAAGCCTCCACCTTCACCTCATGCCAGTACTTTGCTGCAAGAACTCTCAGAGCTTCAGATTCAGAAAAACCCACCACAAATACTAAAAGATTTATTGCAGACACTTTTGTTACACAATTATGTTACACATTATGATACAAACACATTTGAAACAGTAACACATATGGAGACTGTTAAATCATTTAATATTTCTTTTGCAAGAAGGTAGTTTCTTTAGGCTTTCCTACCTGTTCTTATATGGACCAAATCTTCCACCCTGTAGATCTGCGCCCACTGGCTGGATGCCATCTGTACACTTGCCTAACAACCTGGTGTGTAGTGGTTCATGTATAAAATATTAGAGCCTCATGGCTTGGCACCTGTGGCTCAAGCAGCTAAGGCGCCAGCCACATACACTGGAAATGGCGGGTTCGATCCAGCCCGGGCCCGCCAAACAACAATGACAACTACAACCAAAAAGCAGTTGGGTGTTGTGGTGGGCACCTGTAGTCCCAGCTACTCAAGAGGCTGAAACAAGAGAATCACTTGAGCCAAGAGCTGGAGGGTGCTGTGAGCTGTGATGCCAGGGCACTCTGCCGAGGGCAACAAAATGAGACTCTGTCTCAAAAAAAAAAAAAAAAAAAATTATAGCCTTACATCCTCAACTATTGCATTAAGCCAGGGCAGGCCCTGTGCCCTACTGAGAATAGATTCCTCTGGATTTTCAGCCCTCAGATGCTAAATTAAAAAGGTATATTTTATCCAGTTTACCTCCCTGGCTTTATTTTCCTGATTCAACCATCAATGGGACCCATAAAACAATAATTAATGTTGCTTGGACAAGTTTCTCTGACTCTCACTTCCAGTTTTCAAATTTTCTTTGAGCAGAATAAGAGTAGATTTCTAACTGAGAAACAGTTCTTCATTTTACCTTCCACATAGACCAAGCTGGGAAGCCCAGGACAGAGCAGCTTCAACAGACCTGGACACCATGTACCAGCACTGCTAATCCCAGTTGCCCCCTCCATCAAGGGGCTTTGCTATGGACACAATCCATTCTCACTGCTTTTGAGCACTGGCATCCCTGTTTCTGGGCGTGAGCAGTTACTTCTCCAATTTTAAGGCACTCACAGGTGTTTCCTTTGTATACTTCTATTCTTGGGAAGAATTCCTTGGCAGAGAAGAATGGGATTCTAAATCCCCTGGTAGAGT